AATGTAAATTGCAATCTCCTAGCTCGGGAGGCAGGAATCACAGAACAGCCATTATTTTTTACCACTCCACAAAAATTCTACATTTAGAAAGCAGATCTGCAGCTCAGAAAACCGTATAAATCTGAGTCTGCCAGAAACGCCATTAAATCACACCAATTAAGCCGGACCGATGAAGAGCCCCTGTCACTGTTCTCTGCACACTCGAGGAACCCCAGCCCTGATGGAGGCCACGGCAAAGTGGAGGCTGTGGCAGCGGGGCTGGGAGGGGGAGCTATGAGAGGTAGGAAATGATGTCTTACAAACCTAACACATACCCGGAGCATAGGCACCCATTGAGACCGGGTGAGAAAGGAGAGGGGGGCGGAACTGGTGAGAGTTATTTCTAAGCCTGTTGCCTGATTTCTTGTGGGCACACAATCTGCCTGCAGAGTTTGAATTGATGGAGCAGGAGAGAGCATATGAGGAAGAAGCCTGCACCTGCAGCAAAGGTAGTGGAGAGAGCCAGGGACTTAAGGGGGGAGAACAGTCCCTGCCTTTAGCAGCTCTTCAAAGGCCGGTTCTCTCTTCTCCCAAGTCCCCTCCAGCCAAGTGAAAGAAAACTGAGGACAAATCTTGCTCGGACTGGGCTGGGCCGGAATCTGAGCTCCTTTTGAGAGCTGTTTCCTGGGGGTCACGGGGTCGCAGGGCCCTGGAATGGGACATTCCCCCGACAGCTGTTCGTGATTCCAGCCTCCCCACAGCGCTGTACCTGGTTACTGTTTGCCTCTTTATTGCTCATTCAATATTCATTTGTCAAAGGGCAAGATGCTAATGTGTATTATTAAAATATCAATAGTTTATGAGTGAACTTTTATGGAGGGTACAGTTAAAGGCATGATTCTTGACCATCTCTGTCAGGAGCAATGGGGAGGAACAATCCTTCCAGCTCCACTTTTTATTTATGTACTGACCATTCAGAGTAGCTATTGAGTGCAGGAGTAGCTCGAGTGGTCAAGTGCTGGGTTTCATTTCGCCCCACAGAGTACTGGGAAGTGAGGACAAGCCCATTCTCAGTCTAGAGAGGAGAAATGAAGACCAAAGAGATGTGCCCAGGATTGTAAGTCATGGGCTGCGATTCAAACCCAACATATTATTCCCCCCCAAAGTGGAAGCGTTGAAAATATAAGTGATCTTTACGTTTTTATCTGTTTCACTTCTTCACCTGCCCGAATTAAACAGTTTCCTGGCCTCAGTTTCACAGAAGGGGGAAGGAGAGAACAGAAAATCATTACAGGCTTTAGCACAGACCCAGTTCAAGAAAGTGGGCCCCGCTTTAGACATATCTAAGCAAGTTCCCAGAATCTTTTCTGCACATTTAGAATCTTAGACCCAAGGGTGACATTGGAGATGATGTAATCAGGCATCCCCATTTTACAGGAGAATAAACTGAGGTTCTTGAAGCCACACAATGAAGTGGCTTCCTAATTTGATTTCAACTCTGTCACTAACTTTCTCTGTCACTAGGGTATTTCTGGTGTCCTCTGAGTCTCTGCCTTTTCTATAATACGAAGATAATAACAGTATCTCATAAGGGTTCAGTGAGAAAATGCAATCAGGTGCTTAGCTTAGCATCGAACATATAACAAGTGCTCAATAAATGTTGCTTATTAATATTACTATTAAGCTGACTTGTGAAGGCTCCAAGACTCCCTCCAAATGCCAGCACCTTTCCAGCAAAACCAAGCCCACCTTCCCCTCTTCCCTGCCCTTCCCTTTTTGCATTAGACATGCTCAGATCTTGATCCTTTAGGGGAATGGATTGGTTCTGTGTTCACTCTTTAGTTGCTTGAGTTTTGTTTCTATCCCCGTAAGTCACAAGGCATCCAGGGCACTAAGATTCTCTTCCAAGTGAGCCACTCAAGATTTAGCTGCATCTGGGTCAGGAAAATGACAAAGGAAAGGAGCCTGGTCCTTCAGGGAACCCCCCCACACACACACACACACAGATTATAATGTGTGTCAGAAGGGAAGGAGGGAGGCAGAGGACATGGGGGGGTAGGAAGGAAAGGCTGCCCAGACACTCCCATCCCCAGCACAGCCCCAGCAGCCTCGTAAGTTCTGATCTTTGGCTTGAAAGGCATGGAGTTGGGGGTAAAGGGAGCCCTGGATGGGAATGAAGGGCTCGAGGCTTGTGGAGTCCTTGGTGACAGGTCTGAGTCCCTCTCCAGACCTGGCACATCCACCCGAGGGTTGCAAACTACACCCACTCTTGCAGAGATGGACTATACGGTAGAGGCTTCCATCAGCTATAGGACCTCCTGACACTAGCATGTCCCAGGAAGTCCCATCTCAGGGAGGAAGCCTAGTATGGTCTCTGGGAGGCCCTTTAAACCCAGACATTCTGTGAATTAAGGGACGATTTCATTATCTAAGGCAAGGGCTTCTTTAGCCTGTGCTTGAAAATAGATGAGGCCATGTGGTGCCAGACCTGACAAACACTAGCTGCGAGGGACTGTGTCCTCCAGAGATGTCTGCAACAACACACATACCATCCCCCATCCCATCTCCTCTTCAATGCGCTGCTGGGCTCCTCTGGCGAGACATGGTGGAGTCCCACGCTCCCTTCTTTAAAACCAGCGGCCTCTGTAGCTGCCTCAGTCAAGGGAATGTGGCGGAAGTGGTACTGCCTGCCTTCGGGGGTAGGTCACAAAAGGCAACAGAGCTTCCTCCCGGCTGTCGCTCTCTCTCAGGAGGCTCCCCCTTGGCGTCCAGCCACCAGGCTGTGAGGAAGCCCAGGCTACATGGAGAAACACCGTGAGTCTGGCTGGTGGCCAGGCTAATGTCTCAGCCAATAGCTAGTATTCAACCCTGGAACTATCAGCCTTCAGATGATTCCAGTACCCAGATTCTGATCTGCCCCAGCTGAGAACCCAGACCTGCTGAACAGAGACCAGATATCTCTGTGGGTCCTGTGTGAACTTCTGCCTCATAGACTCTATAAGCATAATAAACATTTTAAGTTACTAAGTTTGGGGTGGTTTGTTACACAGCCGTGCTAACTGGAACACCGCTGGCATTAAATTAGAATGTTTGCTGTTTCCTGCTCAAATACAGCCTTCGCTGGTCTCTGACTATTCCCTCCTCAGCTGGTCCCAGGCCCTCTGAACCTGCCTCCCCTCATCCTCTCCCCCCCC